GAGGTAAGAACAGGGGAGAGTAGAAATCGAACACAGTAGATATTTGCCAAGAAAAAAACTTCTGATTTAATTGACTTTTAAAAATTTAGAGTGAGAAATTGCATCTTACCAACCATACTAAAAGGACAACTGCTAACTTTACCAGTAAGTCAGATGAGAACAGTAACTCTAGAAAGTCCTAAGCAAGTTAAACATTGTTTTTCCTATATCATTAACAAATTTTCTAAAAGAACACCAAAGCTTTTGAGCCATTTACTCATACAGTCAAATTGCTTTCTATATCTGATTTAAATATTTAGGAGGCATCACAGCTGAACCAGAATAAGCAAACCTATTCAGCAGCCAACTTCACTTCAGCTGGAACTGCCTTTCATAGTTCCATGCTATTTAAGCCATTTTCTCTTCTGTAGTTTTGCAGAGAGGAAAGGGAAGCAATTTTATGATGTAAGACAGCTCTTACTAGCTTTGCCTTGTTTCCAGCTTGCCACCAGAGAATTCATTCCAAAGCTGTTTACAACATGTACAGATTAACACTCCCAAGCAAACCTTAGTCCAAAAGTAGTCCACAAATGGTACTCTTCCTCCTGGTCCCATAGTTACGAAGCCACCTGGGAGAGTTCAGTGGAATACTGGCTAGTGTTGATAGTAAAACAACATTATTAGATTAAAAAAATCTTGTTCTGGAGTCTGGTATCTCCCACTTTTCTAAATGCCTGGGATATATATAGTGAATAATGAGCATATGAAGGACGATCAGAGAACGTGAGAGGGAAAAGCCTCCATGCTAGAGCAACAAACGCAAAACCTGTCTGCCAAACAATCTTCACAATCACCAAGGCATTAACCTGCTGTCTGCCTGTGTAACATGCATAATTCACACAGCCGGCAGGTACCCACCTCATAACAAATCGGAACCACCACACGCAATACCCCAAGACAAACTGTGGACACATACAACCACCCATGCATCTGTCAGAATGAATGTGAGCAACCAGTGAGGAACAGAAAGACCTGCTGAAGAGTAAGAAAACATTTCTCACTGAACAGTTACTCTGGCTCTGACTTCCCACTTCTGCTGTCCCTAGGAGCTGTATCAACCTTGACTTTGGCAGAAATGTATTTTCCAGCACATTCCATCTTTTTCTGATGTGCCACCTTTTGCCACTATCAAGATGTTTCACAGGGAGATATTCCCCCTCCTATTTCTGGCTGCCCCATCAACTTCTGTCACTTGTTCTCATCACTACTACCAAGTCCCATTCTTTCACTTGTGCTGGTCCCTCACAGCAGTTTCGGCATACTTAATCAGTTAAAACCTGTTTGCTTTTTTTCCTTCACTCCCCTTTTCTTTGGCTTCCTGTTGGCTTAACTTACTGAAAGGGCACAATTAAAGTTCAGTAACTGCGTGGCTACAGAGTGATGCTACAACTAAATGGGCCCAATGGCCAACTGCTGCTGAAAGGGCTTGCTCCCTCCTCCACCCCTACCCACACATTACAGCTGCTTTCCTTCAGTCTGCGGTAGCACTTGTCTCACCCCATGGGGAGGTAGTTCCAGCTGGAAAACCTTTGTCTCCCCCAAATGGTAAGTAGCTTTCTAAATAGCTTTGAATTTATTTGTTAATAGCTTTGAAGTTTTTGAAAAATTTGAAAATAAGTTATTTTGCAAGATTAGCTTTCCACCATTGTTGTGGTTTAACCCCAGCCAGCAACTAAGCACCACGCAGCCCCTCACTCACTCCCCCCCCCCCCAGTGGGATGGGGGAGAAAATTGGGAAAAGAAGTAAAACTTGTGGGTTGAGATAAGAACAGTTTAATAGAATATAACAAAGAAGAAACTACTAATTATAATGATAACACTAAAAGTGACAGCAGTAATGATAAAAGGATTGGAATATACAAATGACGCACAGTGCAATTGCTCACCACCCACCGATTGACACCCAGCTAGTCCCCGAGCAGCAATCCCCCCACTCCCACTCCCCAGTTCCTATACTAGATGTGACGTCCCATGGTATGGAATACCCTGTTGGCCAGTTTGGGTCAGCTGCCCTGGCTGTGTCCTGTGCCAACTTCTTGCATCCCTCCATCTTTCTCGCTGGCTGGGATTGAGAAGCTGAAAAATCCTTGACTTCAGACTAAACATTACTTGGCAACAACTGAAAACATCACATACTGAACTCAAAACATAGCACCCTACCAGCTACTAGAAAGACAATTAACTCTATCCCAGCTGAAACCAGGAAAACCATAAATTGTCCTGTTATGGAATCGGACAAGTGCCAATGGTAACAAGAGAGGGGAAAAGTGCAGCTTGCCTCTCTGGGCAGCAACTAGCTGCTAAAATGTCTTACCTGCATTGATAAGCCATTCCCTGAGAAAAATTGTCCCTGACCTCAGCTTGCGTCAAATTCATTGCCTCTACTTCACACCAGGAAAAGTGCTTGCAGACATGAAAGCTTATCTGTCTTTAGTAATTACACCAGCTTGTAAATAAAAGATTCTAGCTCTCTGCATAGGCTGCCTTGTATCTTTAATTGAAGACTTGCAGCTGTGTTTCCTACTTAAACACTTTATAGGAGGAAATAGCTTGTGCACAAAAGGAAGAGCTACTACCATGACGATGTTTTATGCATCTTCAGTCTGGACAGGGGCATTTTGACCAATGCAGGTACACAGCAACGGTAAGTCATACGGGAGAGCTGCAGGCAGTTGTGTTTGGTGCAGCCTTTAAATCAGAAGATCATCCATTGTCTGAAGAAGGACAACACGTGAATGTCAACCTAATCCCTGCGTGGAGTGTTCTCATCTATCTCTTGTTTCTCCTCTTCTACCCCCAAATGAAGTAGTTTTCAGAGTATGTTCAAAGCATCTAAACACTGCCTGGAGAGTCTAGTGCACACTCTGAATACGTGTTGCATCACCAGATTTCTCTTTGAAGATAAGTGCACTTCTTTTCCAGTCCAGATTTAAAAAGAAAAAAAACCAAAAAGCACAAAGCAGGAACCCATCTCTTCAAAGTAAAAATGTAGAAACTCATCAATTGCCTTTCTAAACCTTGATTCTTTGCAAAGATGGTTACTAGGCACTGCATACCCACCACATAACACAACTGCGATACAACAGCTGCAGACCTGTGGTCTCTGCACCGCTGAAGGAAATTGCAGAAAAAAGAACATGCTAGTAGCCAGAATCAGCGTTTACACGTTTATCTAAAGTTATAGAAACCAACTCACAGATCCTGTTTTACAGTTCACTGCTTGCATAATCCCTGATAGTATGCTATGCTGATTCAACAGGGATAAAGTATAGAAGTGAACAATCCTTTTTGAATTCTTCAGGCTGAACCAAATTTGTTTCTCCGAAGATCCAGACTACCTAACCATTCATCCTACAGGATACTCTTTTAGTCCCAGATGGAAGGGCAGGGTAGAAGTCAATAATACAGCCCAGCCGATGGTTGCTGCGCACAGCTCACTCCTACACTCTGCACTCTCTGCTTTAGACCCATCCTCACCTGACACCACCACAGATGGCAACTTGCTTTGAGGGGGAAGTGTTTCTGCTACTTCAGCTTCCTGACTAGCTCCTTACGGGGTTAGATGAACACCGGATTGGGCACAGAGGAAGCTACAGGGGGAGAGTGGGGATGAGGAAGGAGAGCAGTCTCTTTTGGCAGTGGCCAGTTTAAAGACTTTTCTCATGAGGGTGTAATTTGATAATAGCTAAATCATGCTCTGTTAGACAAATGACACAGCCAATTATACTAATAGTATTAATAAGTGTAGGCTTTTTTCCTGCTTTTATACAGTGCTAAAAGCAGCAGTACTACTCTTACTTCAGAAGGCAAAGTCTAAATAATGTATGAAAACTAAGAGCAACTCCATTACAATGGCACTGTAATTTAAAAACTTTGCTAAAGACAGAGGAGCCCTACCTTATCGTTCGCTTCATAATCTGCCTAGTGAAAGCTCTTCCCTCCACGTGGTAAAGCTGCCATAACTGCAGAGGAAGGAGACCAAGCCAAACACAGAGAAGACTGACAGCAGACACTCAGCAATAGCTGCCATGGCCAGGGGTGCAGCCCCTTGCGCTGGGGCGGGGCAGCAGGGAGGTGCAGGAACACAGCAGCATATGCAAAGCACCAAGTCAAAGCTGGAAGGCTTCTAGTGCTACAGGAGAAAACGAAACGGCTATTGGACCCAGGGAACCTCTTGCACTGGTTTGGCAGCAAAAGGAGGGAAACAGGACTGTGAGACTAGGAAGTATAAAAAGCACCACAAGCACTTAATCTGTGATAAGACAAATCAAGTAACAGGAAACTTTTGATTAAACATACAAAAATCAGGAACAAAAATCTTATAGAAGTGATACCGTCCTACTGAAGAGCAGTAAAGGTAAGTGCCCTATGCTTTCTTCCCTCAGTGAAGAGGGAGGGAATGGCAGTAAGTAGCCTCAAAACATCACTACGCTTCACTCCTGGCTGCTGTTTCTGATCCACCTCCTCATTTATTTTCCATTTAAATTGCATGAAGAACCTAGCACCGCACAGTCTAGAAAAATGCTCATCTGATTATGCTAGAGGTAAGTCAGCTATTTACTATGACAGCAGTTCCTGAGGAAAGTATTAAACACCATGCATGGGAAGCCTCCTAGCTTCCCCCTGTCCCTGTGAAATAGCTACAAAAACTGTAATGTCACAGAATTAAAAAAAAAAAAAAGGTAAAGAAACAAAGCTGACCAACTGATACATTTTGGGACAGAACTAGCAACACGCTACTAAAATCTCTGTATAGACCATTGACCCTACTGACATATTGCAGTGAATACAATTCTTTTTCTGACAGCATCCTCCACGTGCAAGACTGCTGTACAATTTATTATCCAAGCATCAGAAAAATTGCCAGGTTCTACTCAAATGTAACAGCCAGAAGGTTAAAGAATGCTGTAGCTTCTAAAGATTCAACCAAAATGATTCGAAGAGACTTAACATTTCACTGGATAAAATTTTATTTTTTTCATAAAAAAGATAGAACGAGATGCTACTTTTAAATGAAATCATTTATTAAACCAATCTGTTTTATAGGAGGTATATATATATAATTTTATCATTAAGACAACTTCAATGAAATGACTATCTACAAGAATGCCTTTGATTGTTTTATTTTCATGTCACCATACATGAACAAATGAATTTTATGTCTTATGAAAACATTTTACTCAGTATCAAAAATGTACACATTTTAATAACCATTGCTATGGTCTGAAGGGATTTTTACATTTAATTTCAAAAATAAGTGTCATTTCATTGATGCACGTTTTACAGCATAAGCTTAAATCATCCTTTACATAATAAAAGTTTGTGTAGGTATACAGATTATTTTTCATGTTGTCACATACCTTCATGTTTGAGACACAGGTGGGGGATTTGCATTTCTTTTTTTTTACTAGAGGCTAAAATATGTACTGATGTGAGCATAAAGCAACATTTCTTAAAAACAAACCCAGTCTGAATGGCACAAGAGTTAGCGTTTTTATAAATTAACAACCAGAGTTCTGGACTATGGAAAACAGGGTACATGAGATTCCAGTACTTTCCTTAGGGCTTTGCTCTCTGGAAGAACACCTGTTAAAAATTTATTAAAAAAAACACATTTTAAGACAAAGGAAATAGAAGACATGGAATGGTTGAGCTGCAAGATATTTAGTTTGACAGAGCTCATTTTCTTGTTTAACATACTGGTTAACACACTAGGTTCAAGGATGTGACTTGTGCTATTCGATTACAATCGCACCCTAAAAAATGAAGCATTCTGACACATTCTCTACAATTATAGCATCACTTTTTTTGCTATTTCAACTATTAAACATAAGCCATAAGAACATCAAGCTATTGAGGAGATGGCAAGGTGCTGAGGATAAGTGACAGTTCTACAGATGTGGGTTTGTTGTTGTTTGCTCCTTCTTTCCAAATAACTGCTTTTACTACTTGGAGATTCCCTCTGGCTAAAACCTATTAAATAATTCAATATTTCAATTTTACTTCAGGTCACTACTGCAACTAAATTGTATGACAAAGTTCAAATGGAATGAAAAGCTATTTAAAGAAAAAAATCTTTACCTTTAAGTAATTTTTAAAAACTTTAGCATCAGGCTGCTGAAGTGCTTGACAGAATTCCTGTAAGAGAGAATAAAGAAATACTAAATAACTAAATGAAGCAACAAGACAACCTGAGATATGTTAGGAGCATGTAGAATACCTTGTATGTAAAGCCATTGATATTAGTTTGTATTTTCCCTAATGTGCAAAGAAAAGTATGTTATGGATAAAAAAATTGTAATAGGCTATGACAGGCCAAGTGCATTCTGGGGTGACATTCACTTTTAGCTGAGTAGACAGAAACAGGACTATCTAACAAGGACTGCAATCAAGGAGATTCTAAACCTTTAATTTTTCCAGTAACTTCTGGTGGCAGCAGAATATGCACATCACTTGAAAAAGTTATAATCTTAGATCAGAAAACATCAGGGTGTCATCAAAAGATAACACTTGATCCTTACATATATTTAACACCACTTAAAAGTTCTACAGTTTTTTATAATTAGTATAATTGTCTCCTAACGCAGCAAACCCAATTACTATAGTATACAAATCAGTCACAATTAAAATTGTCAGGGTTCATCTAACAATTTATTCATGGCAATGCTTACCATATGGCTAGCAATGCTTAATATTGAGACCGTGGTTAGGTGTAAAGTTTCACTTTTGAGAACCCTCTTAAACTACTACAAAATAAGCACACAAAAACCCAATGCTTAAAGTTGGACATAATTTTTGACAGTAGAACCAGTGCTGTGGCTTAAATTTCTGTAGTGTTGAATACAGCCTTTATCGCATTTTCTATACACTCAACATTCTTCATTTTACTTTTGAGTTATTACTTTAAGTATTCCGATGCTTTTTCCTCAAGTTAAAATTTGAACTAAAGTAGGAAGATGGCTTAGACAGTTACACAGAGTGGACTTTTTTTGCAAGGTACTCTTGCAGTAACTTTACTCCTTATGCTAAGTTAATGCTATTCTGATATGCAGTATCAGAATACATTTTACTGAGGAATGGCAAGAGGTTAACTTTGTTGGTATTCATTTTGTTCATTTAACGTTTACAATATTAAGAGTTTTCCAAATGTTCTTTTAGGAATTCCTACCTGAATTATCTCAGGAGCTACTTGCAAAGAAGGCAAATACTCTTGCTGAAGATACTGAATGCACTCAGGACCCTAGAGCAAAGCAGTACACAATTTGTTCAAGTATTATTTTTGTACAAATGGGAAGTCATAGCCCTATACTGTATGGTAACAGAAGAGTTTGAAAACAGGTGGTCTACATGACTATTTTACAGAGAAGTTATGCATATCAAATACCAAATGCTCATGTTATTCTCAGCTGTTAGCAAATAGAAAGATTTCTCAACCTTGGCATTAAGGATTCTACTGCAATTTGGTATTTGTTACACAGCAGAAGAATGCACTGAAAATTGCACTGAAATAAGAATTACAATACAGCCAGTCAGTTTGTGACACGTCGACTGTAGAAGTCAGTTAAGAAGGAAGGCGGCCCTAATTTCACTATCTGACATATGAAAGGAAAATAAATAAAAATTTGGCAATTAGTATCTGCCATCTGCTTTACCAATCTACTCCCATAGTGAAATTTAGTAGCCAAGTACACTGAACATAGTGTTTCTCTTCTTGTAACACTGACTACGTAAATTTGCAGGGGACTAAACAGTAATAAAATGGAACTTCCAATCCTTTGAGAGAAGCAGACAGACAGTTCTGTTTTGGTTAGCACATTAGTTTTTCTTTTCTTTATTTGCATTTATCAGGTACCTCTCATCACAAGAGGGATTACTGTACCTTGGCAGTACACAAACATAACCCAATACATCTAACCAGGGAAAGTGAATCAACTTTATTAATTTACACAGAAGTTACCCTAGAACTAGAACATGGTATACAGCTCACATGAGGGGAAAAGATTTCAGATCATTTTCCTACATTTGTATCAGAAGTGGTAAAAGAAACAGCATTTGTAATAGGAAGTTATTTACCAAAGCTTGATTTCCTACAAATTTACCTCTTCATTGCTTTTGGGGAAAAAGGAACAAACTCAGCAGGTCTCATCAATTAAAACACAACCTCTTCTCTGTCAGTTTGTAACTTCTTACAATTTGTGTAGTTATGACTTTTACTTGCATCTGACAGAAAAAGCTAGCATGCAAATTAAAGGGTGTAGCAAGAAACAGTAACATGAACATAGAAACTGTTTCATTTCCCATTACAAATGGAAATATGCTATAGTGTTTTAGTCATTAGACAATGCAAAATTCATTTTTTTCATGAATGTTTTTCAATCTAGTCTGCTACACTTCGAAAGACACTTTAGTTTTCACAGAGGTACTCTATAGTACATCTCTAATTGCTCTTTTATGTCAGTTTAAGTACTACACTGAAAAGTGAAAGAATGCCAATTGATCAATTAAACACAGTAACAACCAAGTGAGCAGATTTTTCTCCTTAATGAAGAGTTAATATTTTGCAGTAATTTATCGAGAGGTAAAACAACTGCATCCTGTATTCCTACACAGCATTATGGTCATCCTATCATTTTATGTAAGAGTAGAGTAGTAATTCACCCTAGTATCTAATTTTTAGAAATTGATAAAAGCACTAGAAAGAAACCTGCAAGAATTATTCCCTGCAAAGTATTATGAAGCTTACCCTTTTGAGATGAATTGTTTTTAACGTCACTGCACATTCTGATAAAGCCTGCAATGTAATACATAACATTAGACTGTTCGATTAGTCTATTGGTTAAGTATTTAAAACCAAAGAACCTAATGAGGCCTAAAACAATGGCATAGTTCATGCCATTATTCCCTCATCTTCCCTTCATACAATGCTAACTGAGCCTCAACCTTCCAATTTTTGTTCCACTCTAACCAGAAAAATTTGTCACAGCTGAACCCAAAATGAACTAAAGAACAGCCACCTGTGTGTGTTCACTTTCACTGAACATTAGTTAATAAGTAATATAGGTCCACGTTAAATACTCAGATCTGCAATTCTCTAGCTTGATTTTGAGCATAGGTGAACTACAGAATACAGTACCACAATATTCAATAATTAATCATCCAGGTACCTCAATAAAAAACATAAGGGATTTTATTTGTGAGACAACAATCTTTGAGACCACAGTCATTGTAGGTTTCTTAATTTGAATCTGCCCCACAACAACTAAAGAAAAAAAACCCCATCTATAATACACACCAGTACTGTCTGGGCATCTGCCAAGTCAAATGTTTGCTTCAAAGGTGCTAAGAAACATGCAGGAACAATGTGCTTGTAGACAAAGTCTGCAAAACCTACTGGTCCATCTTTACCTCCTGAAAAGAAAAATAACATTCCATATTCTATTATTGCTTTATGGTTAGTAGCAGCTACAAAGGAATTATGGAAAGATAGCTTACCCCAAAGCTCCACCAACTTAGAAAGAATAATAAAACAAGTCTTCTGTGCAATAGGATCTGGGTAATCCACTGCTCCCTGAATGACAGTGAACAACACACGCTCCACATTCTCTGCACCTTAAACACATTAGAACAAGCTTATCATTTCAATTTACAGCATAAAATGTTTCTGTACTCTTACACTACTTTATATAAATACTGACCTGGAAGACATGCTTCAACTTCAAAACAGCTCTTTTTTGCACAAGTCTCAAATATTTTTTGAAAGTTTCCCCTACGATGCAAGACAACTCTTATTTAGGTTATAATTGGGTTTTTTTTTTTTTGTTTGGTTTGGTTTTTTTGTTTGGTTTTTTTTTTGTTTAAGTTTGGAGATTTTAATTGCTCTTTTGGCCTTTAATACACACAAAGGTGAGAGGGGTACTTTGACCTGCTTACAAATACAAGTTTTCTCCTCTCTACCCAAACATGGTAGAGTTAATTAGAACTCAGCAGCACTAAAGTAGTTCGCTTATCTTCCAATATATGGAAAGGTATTTTTCTCGCACTTGAAAATTTCTGTGCTGCATTTATGCTTACTTCTGTTTGATTCCTTTAAAAATTTCTTGGCCTATCACAACTATCAAGTGCCTCTTTCAAGAAAGCTCTCGCTACTACTTAATGCCACCCTTTCCTTTCCTACACGTATTACCATTATTTTAGGATTGAGGGAAGGAATTCTGAGCTCCACCTACCAGATGAGCCAGTTTAAAGCTTCTCAAGTCCCTAGCCATTTTAATGGAATACAAACAAAGAGAATTACTTGAAGAACGAAGCAACTGGACATTCGACTTCAAATTCCTGCTATGAAAAGCACTAATCTGCATTTGGCCACAAAGGGAAACCTGGTAACTACATATGTAAGTCACATGATGCCTTCTACCATAGATACCAAGATCAGGTGATAGTAATAAAAAATTACAGAAGTTACAGATGTGTCCTTCAGAAGATGAATATCACAATGAATACTAGCAGCTGTGAGTGGTCTCGCCCAACAGCACAAACATTGCTACACATTGTTACATATTGTATGAGCTCCGATTCACCAATCAAATACTATGATGCAATGAAGATGTATTATACACTATTCTTGTCCTTATAGACACAGTGATCACATATAAGCTGAAAAGATCAATAGGAAGAACGTGCCTATTATAGCTGGATTTCACAAACGCAACTTCTTGTGCAACATGTCAGTTGAATACTGTATTTACATTAGTCCATTCTACCTTAACATAGTTAATAGTACTTGACAGGAACTAGGCTAATGATTTTCATAGACAAAGCTTAGATGAGAATAACCACAGTACTATCCCTTGAGAAACTGAACTACTTACCTTGATTAGCTATGACTTCACTCATTCCACTGCCAGTTACTGTCTGCAGAAAAGCAAAGTAACTCCTCCGTAACATTTGTTTTTCTAAAGCAGCAGACTGGTCATTTTCTTCTGCTGGAAGGAGCAACACCTCAAAAATAGCATGAAGTAGCGGCATAAACATCTGTTGCAGAAAAGGTGAAACCTGTGTCTGTGGAAATTGGAAGAGGGTATCAACTCAAACAGTTACACAAATTGAACATGTCGAAATTAAAACTTAAGGGCTTTTTACAATTCTCAGCTTTGATTCACCTTTAAAGTTAGTATTTTCATGTACCAACTACTTATAACAAAGTGAGTCACATCAGAGTCACCATGAACATTACTGCATCTTGACTTACACTACTTCAAGTCTTTTGCACAAAACCATCTAGTCCTATCTAGTCTCATCCCGAGTAGGAACAGAAGTTTTTCAGGATTTCTCATGCTTCTGTTCAGACAGACACTATCTCAAATTCCCTGAAATATCAAGAGGTGCTACTGTAAAGTCACTGTAGTTACAGAAAATGCATCTCTAAGATGTTAAAACTGGCATCAGGCCACTTTTGTAGCACTCGTCTTTAAAAACTGCTTAAAGAAAAGTTTTCCTGAGCTGAAATACTACTGGCATTACAGAATAAATCTGTCATTTATGTCCTACTTGCAGTGAGAAATATATATTAGGGCACTAAAATAGTTGAACACTTATGAATTGAAAAACTGAAGTTGTGTGCTAGCCACACACTAGAGTTCCATAAAGAGACAACTCAGATGTTCATTTCTTAATGCTTAAGCAAGGTTTTATCTTTAATCTTCTCTTCACTGCATCTTGAAAGTATTCAAGGTGAGACTATTGAAGCTAGGATCTTTATTTTAGCATATTGTAATAAGAATGGTACAGTATCATACAACATTAAACATTACACCTTAACATGGTATTTGTCCAGTCTTGCTCCTGTGACTTTTTTTTTTTAAACCTTCCTCACCTTACACAGACTATTTTTAATTATCTACTGTTATCTTGAATTGCTTTTAGCATAAATTGCGAAAAGGACTAGAGTAATAAGAGTCTTTCTCCCTAATCCCCAAACTACTTGATTTTTCAAAATTCTCTCTCTGCTCTGCAGATGGGATACTGCAAACAGAGGTCCACATGCTAGATTCACACAGGTATATTATGGTTCTAGTTCTACTGCTCACAAAATGCACTTCTCTTTACTTTTAGTAATTTTAATTTTGCATTCTGCCAAAAGACTTATTTAAACCTATTTAAAGGGCTTCTTAACCTTCTCAATACAGCAAAGAATTTCCCATCCCATTCACAACAGTGCAATATTCTTGTGGCAGCTCCAGGGAATGAACCACAAGTAACAGGTTAGTAATTTCATGTATTTCATTGACTTTGCATTTGAACTGTTTAAAACTAGGAAGCTCTCAAAGGCTACACTTCAAGAACTTTTGCTAGATAATCACTTGACAGTCCTATTCCTGCTTAATACATATCTCATACCTCCATTTCAAAACCTCCGTATTTGTCAACCTATTTTGAATAACAATGCATGAAGCCTCAGCATACATTTTTGTGCAACACCACCACATCGAGATTTTGTAAATCAGTATTCCTCCCTATAAGCACATCTGATATTTCTGTATCTCCTGGAAATCTCATTGTAAGAAATGAGAAAATTCACTTCAGAGCTTGCATAGTTTGTAACATTAGCTTAACACTTCAGTGCAGGGCATGAAGTTAATTGCATCAATAAAAAAAAAAAAGAATTTTGTGCTGCAAGTAGTATTTTATTTTAAAATATTAAACCCAGAAATTTAGAAACAACATAAAATTCTGAGACTAACCAAAGAAAAACACTCATTTAATCACTGCGAGTCCAGCAGTGTAAGACTGTGGGTGAAGACTGTGTTTCCCAGTAGCAGCCTTAGAAATACACTTATTTATCAATTGTGAGATAAGGTTCTGACACATAGCTATTTTTCTGGAACCAGCAAAGATGAGATAGCAGCAACACTTTGACCTGAAAAGCTTATGCAGTATCATACCTTAAACTTAGCTGTTATTTGGTTTATAAGAGGAATGAATTCTTGAAGATCTTTTGCTTCACAATCTTTAAGCATGTGTTCAGAGGCAGAAGGAATGAACGGAAGAACTTCTTCCTCTAGGCAAATAATCATGCGGTGAAGGAAAGTGCGGACACCACTTCTCAGAACTTCCTTTTGTAATGGACAGCTGAGAGCTGGCAAAAACGTCTGTAAGCAGTCCAGATAAACCTCTGAGCAGCCACATTGTTTTACAGTTTGCTTATTGCTGAAAGCCTTGCTGGTTCGGCTGCAAAAGCAATACAGCAAGTTGTATATAAGCTCGTGTTCCAATATATGTTCCAATACAATAAAGAAGCAATAACATGGAGAATAACATATGCTTTAAAACCCAGGCACTAAATTAGAATATTACTTTTCATGAAATGGGAGCCAGAAACTGGAAGTAATGAACTGAATTATTTGATATGAAGTAGCTACACTTTGGCAGGCTTCGGAGAATTAAATTCTAACAATTTACAAACAACATATGATTAGAATAGCTCCATACAATTCTTTGAGGAAGGGAATAGATGCTGGTTCACTATAAACTTGCTCAATGTTCTCCATATCTACACCCATAGCAGCCTTTTCTAAGGGGACTTAACTCATTTTCTGGGCTACCGTAAGAAATTCTACAAGCACTGATGATTTTTTAGGTCAATAAAGCACAGGTAGAAACTCAGCCCCTCCTCCCAATAAATGCTTTATATTTCCCTTTTATTCAAACCAGAAACACACACAGAGTCACTGTGCTGTACCTACCTAGCAAACCCAACAGCATGATTGAGGCAGTCAGCCAGTGCCATCTGTCTGTCCTCATCTTGTGCCATCATCAGTTTTTCTAACAATACTTTGAACTTCTCCATCAGTGGAGTCAACAAATTCCTCATTAGAACCTGTTTTCTTTCTGCAGAGTATTCGCTGTTAACTATTAATACTCCAGCTGTTTCATAAATGAAAAGTTGATCATCACTGCTTAACAGAGCCTGGTAACCATTTTCCTAAAAGGGAAGATAACAGGCATAATTCACTAAATGTCCTTTATCAAAGTTTAAAGATACTACTCTTTCTTTAAGCAAGCTAAGTAATCTCTATAGTATATTTACAATAGTTTTATTCTCTTCCTACTTAAGTAGAAGTTTCAAGTACAGGTAAAAACATAGTTGAAGGAACAACTATTTTTATACGATTCAGATAGATAGCCTTCTATATATACCCATCTCTAGCCTATACTCCCAGAAACACACATAAGCAAGATTATTAAAATTAGGTACAAATGTAAGCATGCGAGTGATCTCACACCAAAAGAGCAGGGCAATTATTTGTGTTTAAATGTTTGTGTGCTAAGCTTACAATTCAGTAAGTACACAGGCACACCAATAAGTGCAAGCCTTATTTATTACAAAAACCTGCTGTAAATACTCACAGGGGGAGAAAGTTCCAGCAGGTCTTGTATTCTATTCAGAACATCTTCAATAAAGGGATTCATTTGCTTACTGAAATAAAACACAAGTACATAACACTACTTAGAAGCGTGTGCATCTGTACAGGTTTCCTGGTATTTTATTTAAGCTGTAAAGCTAGACACTAAACTACCTTCTCAATACAGAACTCCCCTTTAAATAGCAAAGCACTGCTGTAGAAAAATCTGGCTTATGGATACAGTGCTTGTGGCAGGCCAAATAGACACATGACATAGTGGGAAATAAACATTTCTTTCTTTCCCTCTTTTTTTTAAACGTGCTTAAATAGCTTCACTGATCAGAGTGAAATATTTTCATTAACAGCTGAAAAATAGGATCCTTCTGAAATCTGAACCATCTTGGAGCTTCTCCTGCCTCTACATTAAATATATGCCTGTGAAATAAGACCAACAGGACAGGACTGTTTGAAGAGCTCTAATACACTGAGTAAACTTCACCAGTATAAATTCTGTAAATATTCAGAATTTGGTCAGGGACAGTGAAGAGTTACTCTTGGGAGTCTCCAGATCCACTCACTCTCAGCTCTGCTCAATGAGGAAAAGCAGGACAGGCATCTACATTGTTGATCAGTTTTAACATCTAATCAAAGTAAGCTAAGCATATGTATTCCAGTTCTTTGTTCTGTGAAAATTTTTTCCACTGCTACCTTAGTATTACACAACAGGACTACCCTGCTAGAGCACTGTTTCGATATATTACTTCATTGCAGTCCATTTGAAGGCCAGCCTGTTTCAATGACAACTGTGATGTACTGAAGGGCTATATATGGTAAATTCAGTGCCGTTGGGATACATTTGTAACAGCTTTACTCACTTAAGAGACTTGACAAATCTGGAAAAGAGGTAAGCTGTTCGACTTCGTACTTTGGGACTTGTATGGCGAAGACCACGGTGATCTAAAAATGCCATCTGCAATCAAGAAAGTATCTCAGTCTTAGACTCCCTAAACAAGGGGGGGGAAAGCTAATCATCCAACAATTTAAGAAACCCAGCTTCTTTAGAGACCTTCAGAAAATAAGAAAATTTCCTAAGTCTAAAGAACTTATCTAGCCAAAAATGTAAATGAGATGAAACTTACTAGAACAGTTGGAATGTGCTGAGGTTCAACAGCAAAGAATTTTTCGTATCTAACCACTGTTTCAAAGAATTCCAGGGTAACTGATGTATGTTGATAGGCACTAACACCAGAAGTCACCAGCTACAAATAAAAGCATTAGCAAGTTAGTACTTTAGCCATTTATAACACCAAACTACAATGTAAGTGATATGCTGGTAAGTAAGATGAGCCATTTGAGCTGGAATGTTCCAGTCTTTATTAGCATTTTTAAATAGCTCCCACAACACACATGCTTACCGTTCTCATCATGTCTTGTAAAGCCGTAGCTTTTGTAACATCACCAGAGAAGTGAGCACCGTGAGATACAGGAAGAGCCTCAGCCAACATATACAGCAGCCTTATTGCTACTTCGACTTCCATAAATCGCGTAGTCTGCCAATTCCTAGAGAAAGAGTATGAAGATCATGTTAGTCTGTAGTAGCTTATGAAATAATCACAGTTTCTACCATGTTAGCATTTTCTTTCGAGCTTTCTTCAGATAGACAGCATAAAAAGAGCTGACTTAAAGTAAGAAAAACAGTGTAAGACCTAGGCAGTATTTCAGGATGCTTCTGGAAGACTTTATCCACAAGCACAGCACCTCTCCACCACAGTGCCACCAATTTTCTTTTACCAGTTTCAACTTGAAAGCTACAGATTTCTTGAAGTGCTTATTTTGTACAAAACCACCTACTATGACATGTGGACAAGCCATTCAGCTTCACTTAAGAGGGCTCACTAAAGAGTAAGGTACAATGAAGCCACCAACAATACTGGATTCCCATTTGTATACGCACAACTATCCTCCTAGTCAGGCAACTAGTAGTAACATTTCTTTATATACATACATAGTTTCCAGGATTGGTTCTGCTCTTTTTGTAAAAAATACTTCAATTCTGTTTCTTTTCCCTATCCAACCTTGGTTTTCTGATAGCAGTAATACATAAAATTGTTTGCCACATCTCATAAGTATTTCCTTGAGGTATAAATTGAACACCTGTCCAAATTGGCTGTTGCTGTGTAGGAAAATGTTGAAGATCAAGAAACACGCCTAGGAAAAAAAATTAGCTGCCATTTAAGGTTAGAAAAAGAAAGCTTTTTGTTTCTGAGCAGCTGAATAAAGGATTATACAAAGCCATATTTATCATGATGTTGTAACAAGCTCATTCTATTAATTGGCTTTGCCTTGCTACATCACACTTGCATTCATTACAAACTCTGACAGTTACAAAAGCAAAAAAGCTAAAGGCATTGTGTAAACACGTTAAAAAACCCAACTTACTGAAGTGTAGTGTTAAAAACTCTGCGGACAGATGCCAACAGTAACTCTGGTGAGACCTGAGCAAGTCTGTCCAGCAACAGTTTCAACTGTTTTCTGTACTCCACAAACATTGCTTCATCTTCACCCTACGGAACATTCACATGTCAGTGAAGTCCATATTTTCATGTTTAAATTAATCCACAACCATTTTAGACAATTACACCTAAAACAAAATATTTACATACAAGAACAGTATACCACAGTCAGAGAATTCAATAATGCTCACCCTATGCTCTTGCAACATAACAGCAGGCTCCTTTTTTGGCTGGTTGTAATATGTTGAGATCCACTGCATTCAGTCCAGAAACATATTAAAAAGGCTTTCCAAACTGAAAACTAGCCAAAAGTACAAGAAAGAAAATGCTCTTGGCAAAGCCTTATTGACCCAATTCTTGAAAATTGACTCACTCCTCAAAGATGTTCATTCTCAGCTTCTAGCTGAGTTTCAAAATTAAACTGACAGAAACATTTATGATGACTGCATACAGTTTAAGTTAACCTTTTTAAGACTATAGCTTGCCAAACAGCCTGGAGCAAAAGTAAGTCTAACATATTCAATCATTATTGCTGGCTGACAGAGATGTAAGCATGGGAGAAAGTGAAGTCAAAGAACCTTCCTCCTCCTTTAGATTATTTTTGCAGAGATTTGACCACCTGAAGTAGGTCAAGCAGCATCTCTTAAAGAGTTTCATTACACAATGATTCTCTGATCTTTTTGCAAGACACAGAAGTGATGTGCGGAAACACACCAACTCACACTGAACAAGCCAGCTCAACAGCTATGTTTAGCTAACAGCACAGCTGTATTTGCCTAGGAATAGTTCTGCACAAATGCAGCCAGAAATATTCTGTTAACTGAACTGGCTTGAATATCCCTTTACTGTGTTTTGTCCTATGCAGACATGCCTAGAGCTTAAAGAAAGCTTTCCACATAGGAAAAAAATTCAGCCTACAGACCTTTGCTTCCTATCTTCCAATCCTTAGTCTATGAAAAATACAGATTTTAAAAGCGTGAGCAAGTTTTACTACATGTAATTTAATTTGCATTTGTCTGTTTATTCATATAACACAATACCTCATTTTCAAAATTATATTCTTCATCATATGTCAACTTCTTCATAACAGCCAACATGATTGCCTAAGATAAAAACAGAACTGTGAGCACAGAAGCAGGCAAGTGATAACAAGCAACAGTTAAAGTCCTAGAGTAAAGGAAACATTAAAGCAAGTGTTACATGTTTACAAATACCTTAAATCCCATTTGAATTATTATTTTCAGAGGTTTAGCAGAAGTAACAGTCCAAACTAAAACAAATGGATTATATCCAAACAACACACAGATGCCATTCCAGATACCCAGCATAGATGACTTGGAGCTCTCGGTCTCTGATAGTATTATCTGGCTTTGTTTCCTGCTTGTAATCTATGCTGTTCAGTTCACACTGGAAACAACAATTAAGATGACTGAACTCAGCAGAGGAAGCTAAACAGGTTGTCAAAGGTCCTCTTTTAAAGGGGCAGGTTAGCTTTGCCACAACATTAACTTTTCTATTAGCTCAACATCCTGGAAAGGTTTTTTTGGGGGACAGGTTAAGAAGCTGAATTGGTCCAGCAAAGAATCCAAGAGTAAGGAGCAGCAAACAATAGTAAGCAAAGCAAAACCTTCCCTTTTCAGCAGCAGCAAGTTGTTAGATCAGTTAAAGCACTGACATGCAATTTCACCTTAGTAGGGACTGTTGGGAAGTCCTAAAACAGCAATAAAGACTTGATCTCACCTCTACTGAAGTCTCAAACTCTAAATGTATAACTTTGATCTTACTAAGCATTTACCAGTTCAAGTTTTTAGAACTCTGCTTTAATGTTTAAAATACATGTAGTACTCAATTCCATTCATGCATTCCAGGATGGATAGAAATTGGACTGACACACACAGCTAAAACAAGTGTTTAAAAATCTATTCTATTTTAATTTTCATTTTAAGTTTTTTCTAGGGAAGCTACAGAAATGTTTATTAAATCTAAAATATTCCACATGGACAGAAAGCTATTCTGAATAATTAAAACTGAATGAGAGGCAGACCATTTTCCATATGCCTATTACAAGAAATGGGTTCACTGAACACTGGAGAAGACTGTAGAATTATAACAGGTATTTGATTAGCATTACAGAGCACCTCATCCCTATACCTACTACAAGGTGAGAAAACAAACTTCTGTCTTTTTTTTCATATTGGTTAAATTCAGTAGCCAACAGCTTTTATTATAACTATAGCAAATGAAAATGCTGATCATATCAGCAAAAACTTAATTATCATTTTGCGATTCTCTTCCAGTACTGGAGGTTCTGAATGCAGCCAGCCATAAATTCCAGACAAATAATAAACAAGGCAACAAGGTAAATTAAAAAAAAAACAACTTAAAACTTTTGACAAATCAATCACAACTACATTTTTCATTCTAAGTGCAAAACTTGAAGTTCTTTAACACCGAAATGGACCAATGAATTAAATTGAAGCTAAATTCCTGATGATCTTGCAGAAATACACTTGTAATACTTTGAGGAAGAACACGATCAAATAGCAAGAATGTCATCAAGCTTTCTATTAACACCAAGTGTCAGCATCATCTGTGAGAAGTCTCTGCTTCTCCATAAGAAGCAGTATTAAAGAATTAAAATAATTGCAAAACATTACTGTGATATGCTTGTAGCCAGAAATGCTTAGAAACACCTGTCATTTTAAGAATTAAAAATGTGATCCTACTGATGAGAAAAAAAAGAAATAAAAAACTTAGGGACTTCAAAAGCACAATAAATAAGACCACCTTTTTTCCTGTTCAAATAATGAACAAGTTGAAGGTGAGGACTTCTTAGGTGCAAAACTTTAAAGGAATGCTGCTAAGCACACAATTTAAAGCTTAAGACAGACAACAATAAGATTTAGACTATTTCCAAGTACTTTCTTATGAGTTAGATGATCAGTATGATCGCTTCTCAGTTTAACACAAATCCTCAAGAAGTGCTCAGTAAAATCAAGAAATAATTATAACATGAAGTTCTTCAGTATGAAAGCAAGTTTAACAAAACAACAGATTCCAGGACAGTAACATTCAGATTTTAAATGTCTTAAGTGCACTGCAGTAGTAATTTTGTTTGATCCAGTTATAACAGAGACATAGTTACAAAAATAAAAAGATTCAGAGATGTTATCAAACTTCTCTTATTGTGTTACCTAATCCAATTTAAACAGACATTAGACAAAACCAGATCAAGATAATCTAGACCAGTTATCCAAATTCAACTTTTCATGTTAGAACAGGTACAGAATTCAGTTTTATTTGTAAAGGAAAAGGAATCACAGCTGTCACCTGTACAGACTTACAAAATACCCGCACCAATCTAACCAGTTCAACATCTAAATTAGTACATCCACATTGGTGCAGAAGGGTCATAGGGAAAAGAAATTAAAAAAAGGACTGTGCTGGAAAAGACAAACAGTTTACTACCTGCAAAACTGGACATAAACCTTATTTATTAAACTTAATGTTTGATATATAAACTTAAGCTTATGTATAAACTCAAGCATATAAACTCAAGCATATAAACTTAAGCTTAATGTAAATGCTTAACACATAACTGGTCATTATAAGTACAACTGTTATATTTTAATTGCAGCTTCTTTCATAATTTACCTAATGATAATATCAAGGGTTGAATTTTATGATAACCCTTCCTATACTGCTTCCCAGCCTTTGGAACCAGAGCAGGTTTTAATAAAAATACAGAGCTTCAGGGAAAAAAACCCCTCTTCTGTCTTGATTTAAGAACATTCTATCAACAGTACAGACTGTACAGGAGCTTACCAACATGTGCTTAAGGGTTGCTTGGGAAGACCAGCTCTAAAATAGCTTTCATCTTCATACACAATTCAATATAGGTTTACTATTTAAAGAAACAGCTGTAGTTACGTAGTAGAAGATGGAACATACTGTCTTAACTTTTAAATCTTCCCATTTAATTAGTCACATGCACATTTGAAGACATATAAATAGAACATGATTTGTTTCAGCAAAATCAAAGATTCTGACCCAATGCGTTCCTGAAAAAAAGAATCTCTAGTAAAAAGAAAATACTTACCTCTACATTAGCTTTTTGTTGGTCTGAAAGAGCATTAAGCTGTAAAATAAATTTCAAGTGTTATTTTTTGTATAGTAACTCCTGTATTACTAACAGGAAAAGACAGGTTTGCTTTTAACAGCCATACAATCTGCAAGCCTTCTTTCTACTTAACACAAGATTTAACTCAATTCCTTCAGGTTTCCAAACAACAGTATAGAAATAGCATGAACACAGCCATTAAAGATACTGAATGCTAATAATTCAAAAAACCTATTTTGCAAGTCAGCTTGCACATAGTATGAGATTCATATATTCCCACCAAAAAAAAAAAATCAAAACTAAATCATATGTCAAAAAGTGATGTTAAATTGAAGCCAGACATATTTACTTGTTTCAAGATGTGAAGGTAGTCGTAACAAAAGCCAATGATATTAGATGAGATGTCGTCATCTTCGTGAATTAACAGTTGCAACATTAGGGCCACTTTTGCTTCAATAGCTTGCAGAGCATCTTGAGCACTCTTCATATCCCCATTTTTTATCAATTTAGTCCAACTAGCTATTAATGCTTGCCCCATCCCATTGACCAGCTTAGAAAATCTGGCCAGAAAATCCACATCATCTTCCTGCAAGACAAGACATCCGATTAAAAATACTAGCAGAGCTCATGTTTAAATGGCATGAGCTTATAGATTCTACTACCCATGTCTAGTACGTAGAAGTAGTAAAACCAACATTTATCTCCTAAATGGAAAGTTCAAGTGCCTGGTTTGTTTTCCCCAGGGAATGGAGAGAGAAAAACTAAAGCAATGCCAGATTTGGCTGTCCTCCATTATAGAACGGTAGCTTGCTTCATTTCTTCAGATTAGTTTGTTTCTCTTTTTACTTTATAGCAAGAAGCAGGTTCAAAATAAAAGCAGCAGCACATACCTACCATAAATTTTAGGCTGTATAAGAGGAAAATCTTTTTATGGGAAAACTTCAAAGAATTAACAGCTGTAGCTCACTTCAGAAATACTGATACCGAGTAACTTTCAGTACTGCCTGTAAGAGTGAGTTAATATTAAATATTTATGGCTTGCTTTTGCAGAAACACATTGATTAGAATTGAGAAATACCCCTCAGTCACCCCAGACAGATACTTTGCTCCCTGCCATAACTGTATATAAGCAGAAGAATAACAAGTCTTCCTCAGAAAGCCTCAGGTAAGATTTTGAGGAACACCTCCTGAACTGACGAATGCACGTTGTCAAATTTGTATTCTTACTAAAATGCAGAAAAAGGCTTCAAAATTAAGAGATAACTGCCTTGCAATCTAAGGACTACAGCTTCATAAGGACTGGTTCCTTTCTCCATGGCAGATAGCAAACAGCTGTTCCTTAAACACTGCAACTGCCAGGGAATGCGTGTTTTGTTAGTAGGTATATTTTTCCATCTTATCGATAAGAATTTCAAGCCTCATGTCTGATGGTGCAGACATGCAGAAGAGCATACATGCCCTGAAGAAAGCTCTTTCCCCTACCTAAGCATGCATAGCTGATCTAAAGTCTCACCCTAAAAAAAACTCTACCTTGGCTACAATATCTATTATGGAATCATTCAGAACAGAAGATTCAACAAGGCAACAAAACACAGAAGCAGCATTACAGTAAGCACAACAAGCTTTAGTAGAGGAACAGAGGAGTTACATAGTACCTTGCTTCTAAAACAAAAAACTCACGCTGAGGACAAACAAAATGCAGTGTTTTAAATGAACAAGGAATATTAATAACAAACTGTCCTTTTAAGTATGACAAAACCATGAGGAGTGTTTAGCTTTGATGCAGAAGCACAACTAATTCCCCCTAATCTGTGGACTTAGTTTTATAGTTTTCTGTTTATTTGCTTATTTAAGAACTGTTGGAAACCTATAACTCATTCCTGTTGTAAAAATCAATACACAAACCTGATCAATGCTGAAGAGGCCAGCAGACTGCAATACTTGACATAAAGATTCAACCAATTTTGTTTTATCAATTGGGTCCATTCCCTTATTTACAATTTCAAACAAACAATCACAAGCTTCTTCCCGGAGAACTTCCACAGACATGTGACCTAGCAGCATATTTATAAACCTTTAGAGGAAAAAAAAGTTTGTTTTTATATGTACACAGTAGCATCATATAGAAGCTTTATATTATTTGTGTGCATGTTTACAATGTTTTCGTTTTATAAGACAGTTTTAAACTCTATTATACTGACTAAACCCAGCATTTTATACATTTTAAGGAGAACCCAGCAAACTACGTAGTGTCTGTTTTGACCATTATATCGGCTTGGCTTGCAAAGCCCATCACTCTACTAAAAACCCAAAACCTCCAAATAATTATCTATAAAGTTCTTTTTCAAAGATGAGTTTCAATTCTGTTTCATAGAAATACAGTCAGCATGCTACCAAGCTTATTTTTGCAAACATATTCCATCAAAAACCCATTACCTTTCATTGGCTATCAGGCTCAAATCTATCCAGGATACATAAGCTCCAACGACTTCAAGGCACTGGCATGTCAACTCTGAGTTATTATATTGATAGTTTTGTAAGATTTGGTACCATGATTCCACCAAACTTGGAATGCACTGTTCCCTCATAGTATCTTTTAATAAGGTGTTCCTACGAGCCTCCTATCAATACAGAAAAAGAATAAATCAGTCTTGTCATAGATTAGCATCTTGTAAAATTAGGAGCATTTCTGTATCCACTACTAGACACCACTTGTCCTAGCAAGATAACTCAAATCAGAACCTCAAAGAGAGCACATTTTTTTTCTTGCAAGAAATAAAACCAAAATACCCTAGTTTTCGCTCTTTCTACCACAATGCCCAAACCCTGAAGAAAGGCAGACAAAGGGGAAAAGTCCTCTAGATCATTACATGGGTTTTTGATGTTAGGATTCCTTAAAACAGGCACTAGAAGAAGCTAACATTTTAAAATGAGTCAGTCTAACATTAAATTGGCTAACTCAGACCATTAGTTTTTGTTTGCTAGCTCTTCAAGCAAAAAATACATTAACTGAAAAGTATAAAATCATAAAAAGCATTAAACAACATATGGCTTTTGGATCTAAACCACCTAATGTCTCTAAGGCAGGGTTGCCATAGGAAAACAACATCATCTCTACTAGTCTTCTGCTCCAATTAAAGTAAGAGAACTTTTTTGAAATTTAAAACAAATGTTAATGCAAAATAACTTGCCTCTGATGTATGAACAACATCCCGGTCTACCAGCTCAGCATCAACAGCCATCAGGATTCTGAGGTACATATCCACACCTCGTGGATTAAGGTCAACTACTGATAGAATATCAAAAAAAAACTTGGGCCATTTTGTGAGATATTCAGTAACAAAAAGCAATGCAAAGACTTGCGCTGCTTTGTTGCGAATAAAAGTCTTCTCAGGCTGGGGATTCAGCATCTGGTAGAAACAAGATATTTTATTTGTACATTCTTACCAAATTAGAGAAGAATCATATATGCTTGTTGATCTCTGCATAGCAATTAATGTACTACCTCTCTTCCTGGCTGAGATCAATCAAAAGCCTTAAGCTTTCCAAGGATTTTGAAGAAAATTTAGCTAAATTGTAATGAAACAGGGGAAACATTCTTTTTGGGTGATACAGTCCTAAGCCTTTCATTCAGTGCTAAGACATTAAGTGTACTATTCAAAGACTAAAAGCTAATTTGGCAGTTTGGTGAAAGGAGTAAACAACTTCCAGAAAACAAGTTGCAGTCCTCTTGTAGCTAGTTTGTGCCTACATTAGGTGTTAGCTTTAAGAATACTAAAGGAAGTTTCTAAGTCTAAGCTCATCGGGGGGGGGGAAGAATCTGTCACTACCAATCTCTCTCTCTCCTTCCACTTTTCTATAAACTTCTAAATGGGACAGCTTGTCACAAAGAGAAATTAAAAGCAATTTAATCCATTTCACAATGATCTGTTCTTTTTCAAGTTGCATCATATTCCATTTCCTACTGTTAAGTTTTCTACAAACAAAGCAGCTATGTTAATTTTCAGTGCAGAACTGCAATGATAACTAGATAATGGCAGGTATAGGCCAAGACTTGTATCAGCCCACTTGATGGTTCTGCTGATTGCAAATTCTTGGGTCAACTGATACTACATGTTCAGCTACAGTAACTAATTCCACAAGAAAGAGTAGCCAATACTCTGCCATAGTATTAACAGAGGAGTGTTGCTGTTCATTCATAAACATCTGCTAGCATTCTAAGTAGACAGGAGTTAGGCCAGGAGGGTCTTAAAAACAGCATTACTGTTCCTCCTCCAGACACTCAGGAACATCAGGAATCTGGATTATATCTCTCTAAAGGGAAACTTTTAATACTCCGTATTTTACACACAACTGATTAAACCACAATCATTATCTGAAATAAGAGTTTTATATTTAGTAATATGTTCAAGCACAGACTTCTTTACAACATCTGATTTCAAGAATTTCTAATCAAGATTAGCATGTTAAAAGCTTTTAACCATCAGATACCATGTATCTTCAGAAAGCCATCTTTGAACTCAAATGACAGATTAAACATTTAGCCCACGCTCAAGGCATTATGTTAGCCCACTAATAAGCCTACTATGCAAGACCACTGTGAAGGGACATACTTACCTGTGCTTGCAGCCATGTTACGAGTGTTTCCCTAATTAGCTGCTGCTGGACTTCAGTAAGTTCAGAGTATCTGAAACAAAGCATAATGAGATCAAAATACAACTGCTTCATGACAAGTGCAACATTCAGTAAGGCAAAAACTCTTTTCATATTGCACATAATACTGCACATTAATATAAATGAAAGGTTCCCAGAAAACGAATTTACACAGCTAATTGTGTATTAAAATTTTTAATCAAAGACATAAAAATAAGGAAAAACATTTTGCCTATATTAATGGATTACATTTTGAGGCACTACTGGCTCCTATATTGGAGTAGGAGCTTGAAATTTTGCAGGAAGGCTGCTCTATCAGGGACAGGACTTACGACCCTCAAAAATACACATTTGACCATAAACCACTGGGAGAAGGAAGAGACATCTGTATATGCTCAAACTTGTTTACTACACACTGAAGACTGCCAACAGCGAGCACAAGGAAGTCCTTCACTGATCTGACCTACAGTACATTAATTATCAGACATATCAAAACTAAAAAAGCAAACAAGCAATTCTGCTTTATGTCATACATATAGTCTTGGCAAAATTTGACATTATACCCAGCCCACCTCAAATACTACCCACACAAGATGCTCCTTCCCAGGACCAGCTAAGCTCAGAACACTCTCCTTGCAATAGAACTAGCTATAGGTTTGGTACAGTCCTTAACAGGAATGACTGCTGAATGCAGCTCCAGTGTTCCTGTAACAAGTAACTACTCATTAAGGAGAAGAAAAAGCAACCCCACTGAAAACGCTCAAAGAAAATAAGAAGCAGGAAACCAAGAGAAAACATACTGCAGTAAACAGGCAACAGGAGTGGAACAAGCAGAGGAAGATGGACAATGAGGTAAAATCAGGTGAATAAAATCACAGAAAGTTAAGTCTTTCATTTTTGCTGTGATACATAATTGTGCAAATCAGTTGCAAAATACATCTTATTCCTATCTAAAGCTTAACCCACATGTTCAGTGTATTGCAACCAGTCACAATGATATTCCAAGAGGCAGACACCTCTGCCATGATGTTCAAGTCCAGACCAAAGGAGCCCAAAGTGTGAACAGAACATAGTTCCATGCAATGAAACTTACATTATTTCAAAGTATTTTCTCCTAAAATTATGATTCTATCAGAACACCACTCAGTGAAAAGACTACTTTCTCTTAACATCTCTGCCATGGTTATTGAATGAATAGGGCTTTGTCTGAAGGCCAGGGCTCTGTACTGAGCAAGGCTGCTGCTTGCAGGACTCTTTTCTGCAAAAACCAGTGAGAGTACAGAATAAGGCTTGAATCTCCAGAAAGGAATGGCTAAGTAAGTTTCGAGCAATCAGTGGTAATCGGGTCTGTGTTAGGCCATACACAGGTGTTAAAACTAGCTAGTAGAGCACACTGCTCAAAACTCAACTGCTGTTCAAAACCCAACTACTCCTCTCCCAGGAAAAGGTGAAGAAATGTAAGAAAGTCCTCTGGACCAGATTAAAGCCACCTCATCAACCACACCAAGATGACAGATACCATTTTAAGTTTCCTTGCAAGCAGAATAAAAAGGGAAAATTAAATGGATGTACATGGCTGGTGTTAAGAAAGATTACTCACTTGAACTTAATTTGATGTTCCAGAACTTGAAAGCAAAAGAACTTGATGTGATCATCACTAAAAAAGAAAAGAAAATTACTAGTGGCAATATGGTACACTTCTCTGGGAGGAAAAGATTCCTCAAGTATTACAACCAGGTCATCCCTTTGGTAAATCAAGAATTACTGTGCACCAGAGAAAAATGCTACAGCTATTACTTCAAAGCAAAAATGACAAATACTCAAGCAGTTCATTTGGTAAAAATGAGCAACTGTTAAACTAATACTTATGTTTGATATCACAATCCTTTTTTCTACAGCCACCAATTTGTTATGCTTTGATTTCAGTATTGAACATACAAAACTACAATACCTATTGTATCTTGCCTTCATAAAAATCTGTCAGGCTTCAGTAATACGTCTGGCTTCCATTAGCACACTAAGTGCAAGTTGTACACTGTGTCTTAAAGAGCAAGCTAAACACAAACTGAGGTATAGATTAGGAAGGGACATTTCACATGCTATATAATCTACATGATTTCTTAATCTTATCTAAAAATTGTAACAATCATAATGTATTTTGATAAAGATTATAAAACGCTGTTTTCAATCTTGTGTGGTTTTGTTAATTACTGCATACTCCTTTGGAGTCAGAAGTTTTGATAAATCATTTACAAAAAAGCATTCACTATAAGTCACTGCTGTTATTCAGGAGGCATACATCCCTCAGTTTCCTTCTAACCAGAATTATTCTGTGATATAGCAACAACCCAGTATTTGAGATCTAAATACACAACTTTGTGCAAAAATAGTGCTGACTACATACTCTTTGCGTCTTGAAAAATGGGATGGCCTACTCCATAGAATGGGACAAGAAACTACTACTGAGATTACTGCATATAAAGCCTGTAGTCTCACAATGGAAAATATTCAGCGCTCCTCCCCAAAAGATAGCACTAGAACTCATTCTTTTTCCCTGGAGTTCATAAAGCAGCAGTCTTTAGGCTACTAAATTAATATGGAATTTTATTTATACATCAGTCTTCCTTGAAAGGCATTATACAGAAGCCACAGATTAACTATGATTCTAAAAACAGTATGAAGACCATATCAACTTTCAGCAATTTAATTTGCCTGTTATGCTGTAGAGCTAAAACCAGACTCAAACATATGAAAATAAGCAATGATTCTTATCTACATTACCTGTATATACTCTGAGCTAATGCTTCTGCGCAGACTTGCCAAGCATCCTGAGATATCTTCAGCTGCTCAAAGTAGGCTAGTGCCTGCAAATATCCAAGTAAGTTTCATTTTAAAAAAGGAATAAACAAACCACACAGCAAGACATCTCATTCACACTTAAGACTCATATTTAAACAGCTCTCCTTCAAAAAACCAAACGGTATTTGGATACATCCAAGTATTTATGACTCCCTAATTACCATAACACAAGAGTGTTTCTTCAAATGCTAATATCATAGGTACACATTTCCACTTTACATTCAATAAAAAGATTTTTGTTACTTGAATATAAAAGTCATAGAATCAGAAATGTTGAGGTTAGAAGGGACCTCTGGAGACAGGGTTGACTAAAGAAAGTTGCTTAGGACCTTCCCATTTAGGTGGAAGTTCACATCCAAGTTAAAATTCCTTCCACAAATTCTAAAGAGAAAATAATTTAGATTTTTAATTGAAAACAACTCAGTATTTTTGTTGCACCACTTTGGCTGTATTCAACACCTCAAGCTCAAGAAACATTCAAACACTGATCACAACTGTCAGTTTATGAAGCCACCACAGAGACTGGAAAAAACTTCTACCAAACTCTAAATAACCAAGTTGCTTATCAGAACTTCTACGTAGATTAAGTTAACTGTTGTCAAAAGCTAAGTGCTTTAAGATTTAGTGTGGCCTGTTATACAAAACAGTAAAGTAGCTTTTGAAACAGAGATTAGATTAACAACATTATTTCAATTCTACGAATGCTTGTATTTCAAGGGAGTTTTTTGGCTGTTGGGTGGTTTTGGTTTTTTGCATTAGTTCATAATTGTTTCCATTCACCTAAGTAATTTCCCAAAGTAATTATTCAGTGAGTTAAAATAAGTTCTTAAACCAAGAATTCCCTTCCTGTAGACAATTTTCTTATACTGAACAGTTTTACTAGAAATGGTTTCATACTTCCTTTTATATGTTACATCTTACACGATTAGTGAAAAGGTAAATCACCTTTTACTATAAATATTTCAAAATTAGGCAGACTGCACAGTTAAAAGGTCAATAAATCTATAAGCTTCAAATTTTACAGTGATATTCTATTAACAGAACACTAAAGATTAGCTATATCCATCCTTTCAAAAAGGACAAATACCCAGAACCAACATATTTAACAGGCTGCTTAGCAGTACCAGGCTGCATTTTTAACTTGCTTATGCATTCCAGAATTTGAACACAAAACCAAGGTATTAACATCTTCATTTCTGAAAGATTTCACTGGAGGTTATCTTGTAGACAGTTGAATCAACTTGAAAATGAATCAGTAAGCATAAATATTTACTCATTAAATAGTTAGATAAATTGTAATGCCTTTTCACAGGAGCACCCCTCTTTTCTGAAGTAACTGTTACCCACTTACCATGACTACTTTCTTAACCTACTCTATGCTAATACAAACTTCACTGGAGTTAAAAACACACATTTCATTAAAAAGACACTAAAGGTAGGTAATCCATTCCAATAAAACAACACGTCTAAGAATTAAAAGGGCAATTGCAAGCAACTCATTCTGCTTTTCATTCTATGTGAACCTATGTATGGAGCTAAGCAACAAGTACAAAGATTTGAAAGGACCGAAAAAGTCAGAGCCCAGAAAAATAAATTCTATGCATGTTAATTGTAATTTCACAGAGTTGGTGACACGACCTTCCGCTTACATGCTTGCGACATAACTTTGTTTTGTACTTGTCACCATGAACCCTATGTATTGGTTAACAAAAAAAAAAAAGGGGCAAGCCCCCAATTCCCCACCCAAGAAAATACAAGACTTTTGCACCCCCAATTATTAGAGAGATAAGCAAGTTAATTACATACTCTTTGTCTGAAGTCCGCATCAGCATTTGGGTTTAGCCCTAAAAGGGCTTGTTCATCCATCTCTACTGCTATACTCTTTGTTTCCTACTCCTAACTGGTTTGCCCACTTCTTCTAAGGAGGAAACTACGATCATCTGCAAGTAGAGAAAGAGAAACTTTATTTGCTCAGCAGAACAACAAAAATTAAAAGCAGGACAGCAACAACCACAGAATTTTGCCCACAAACCTCAAACACATAGTATGTACTCCACCAAAACATGAATGTGTGTACTTCTGGTACGGATATCGGAATCCTAAGTCCTTTAATCAACTTTTAATAGTACTAAACTTCTTGCTGAATAAGGAGAACTTGAAGTGTCCGTATATTTCAGTTATCTTGAAAAGAGCTAATATAATCTTAATTAACAGAGAAATGGTATGACATGAACTATTCAACTGAAAGGCTTGAACTCAAATTTCAAGCATGCAGAGAAGGTTTCAGCAAGATATGAGATAAGCATAAATCTGCTACTTAAATGCTGGACAGCTGTATTTTTTTCCCCACCACAAACTTTGTAACTGCAAAAAAAAATCTCTAGTCATCTCTAATATTGTTAAGATGCTTCATAAACTCATTTATGAAGTATTTCCCCTAGGGAGGCAAAGCCATTAGAAGGTCTTTCTTCTAAAGCAAGCGCACACAAGAGAAATGTCTTAGAAATTAACCACAAAATACATCATACTGAGTTGTTAACAAAGTTTTCTGTTCCTACTAATGGGTGCTGATTTACCAGCAATGATTTTTATTTAGAAAATTTAGTGTAAAATTAACAAGCAAGCTAGACAAATGTTCTAAAGATGATGCGTCTGTACAGGCTGTTCTGCAATGCTCTGGTAAAACACAGGGAATTAAAAAAAATAAAAATCTTTGTCAAATACTAGGATGCTGTTAAACAGCAAGAGGGGACAAAATCCATCTATCCTTCAAAGACCCCCCCCCCCCCCCCCCCCCCCCCCAGTTAATTAGGCCTGAAATAAGGCCTTGTTACGTAAGTATGTAGGAGGTAGGGGAAGGGAAGATAGACAAGAGGAAGAGATGAAATACAAAGGAGCTGTGGTTTGAAGCTGCCTACACGCCTATAGGTAGAACTTCTGATTTCTTAGTATTGCGTGTCTTGTGCACGCTCTACTGTTCACCCTCCCCCACTGGAAGAAAGGTGGCACAGTGACAATTGACAGCAAGCATGCCTGAAAAGGAGCGCTCAAAATTTAACATGGTAAGACAGGTATTTCTATAAAACTCACTACAGAATACACTATAATAAAATGCATCATGAAAAGCAATTTAATAAGTAAAATTGAGTTCGTACCAAAAAAAAATTGCAGGTTGCAGCTGTATAGAAACCAGAAAATCTGGAACAAAGCGATGACTCGTGGCAAAACAAGCTTCACACACTGCCTTGCGACACAGAGCAATCCTGCTCAGGGTCAAAATCTTTAGGGATTAAAGTTGCTCTGCTGAGTCTTCTCCCTCTGCACCCCCGGCCCCCAGCTTGTTTTCCCCATAATCAATATCCAAAACAGCCAGATTAAAATAAAAGTAAAATGCTGCTGAAAAAGTTACTTTTTTTTTTTTTTTTTACAGCATCTTTCGATTAGGGTCTGGTCCAGAGTTATACAAGTAAAACTATTTCATATACAGCAGCATATTTTTGGCATATTTTCCTGCTGATATCACTACATTATCTGCCCAAAAGGTAGTAATCTTGTACACCTGTGTGACAAGTTTTGCTATTAAAAATAACCTCACTCAAACACATATTCTTTTCACTTGTTTAGCTAACAGCAATACCAACCAGTTCTACTAATTTTGTATATGCTACATAAGTATATTTAAAATTCCATCTTTTACCCTATATGCTTTTCTAAGAGTTTCAGCTTGACTAGCCAACTCTAGAAGACAAATAATTGAGATAGACTATTTGAATGAGCCTTTTGAGAAAGCTAACAAAATAGCTTCTCATGCTATATGGTTTTAGTTGAGCAGGTAGCTTTTCCACCACAAATCTATTTTACCAGCCAGTTACACTTCAAAAGCAAAATCAGAACTGCAATTTTAATACTACTTACAGTTTGCAAAATCCATTGCAAGATATACCCAGCTATAATGTCAAGTATGTCACTGAAGCAAGATTTATAAAAAATAATCAATAACATCAATAGTTAATATGCAGCTGTGTAGAAATTACTGTCTTATTTACTTAGAGATGCTTTTTTTGTTAAGCAGTCGCTATGTTGGGTGGCAAAGTGATCTTACTATAATTAGGAAGATGCAGTTCCTTAACAGTGAAGTCATACAGGTATACGTATCTCATCAGGATAGTTTATTCCCTTTCACATATTAAATACTTACAAATGCATTCGATAGCAGAGACTGCTTTCTTACAGGAAAGCGGGAAAAAAACGTAGTTACACTTTGAGTGGGGAAGATTGTCCAGTTTAACAACACTAACATGGTCAAAGGTGTGTAACTTGTGTCCAGATATGTCCTAACAATAAAAACATTCAGAGCATTTTAACTACAGATGCTAACCACGGGAACAATTAAAGAATACTTTGTTTGCAGCATTCGGTTTTGCTATTTACAAGATTGTGATAGCACACAGGGTGCCAGTGACAGGCTTCATTTTAATTCCCTCAAATCTTCTCTCTAATAAAACAAAGACAGTAAAAGATCACCTTTCACATTCTTTTTTGAGCTCTGTTTTGCTTGCTGCAAGTCTTGAGCATATTTACAGCCTCTTAGGCTATAGAGCCTTTACACTGACCTAACGTGGTTAAAACGAACAGCTGTGTAGTTGTAGCTACTTCGAGAACTTTTCAACTGGACTAGAAAGTTTTTCTCTCTGGAAGTGACACGTTAGGTCTTCATCTCAGGCACATCCTTACTGGCCAGGAACTCCCCGAGAGGAGCAAGGCCTTCTTGCCCCCCCCCCCCCCCGCCCCGACTTGGTCAAGAGCCCAGCCTGCCCTCGCTGCAGAGCCGACAACACTGCCTAGCTCAGCAGCTCAGCCGAGAAGGGGGATCTGGCGTTCGCACCCAGCGGCGAAGACACCGGGGCTGCAGCTTAACCCCTTCGGCCCCTTCCCGTGGCCGCTGCAGAGTGACAAAGCACTCCTCCCCCGGCGGGGAACCGCCGCACTGGGACACGCCGAGAGCAGCGGAATATGGAGGTGCAGGGGAGGTCCCTCCCCTCGCGTTGCAGTGCAAGAGCTCACGGTCACTTCCTTCCCCCACCGGAGCCATAACGCAGGACGGCGACCGAGGCAGCTCCCGCAGCACGCGAACAGAACCCCACCGCAAAGCTACAGCGTGCAAGAGAAGAATCCCGATGTTTTCGGCGGCCCCACGACCCCCCCCCCCCCCCACCCCAGCCGGCTCACGGAGGGACCGACCGACTGCGGCACCCCCCTGCTCCCCCAGCAGCGCGGCCGGGTGGGCGGGGGGGCCCGGGGCCCTCCCCCCCCCCCCGTTCTCCACAGCCTCACAGCTGCGGAGGAGGCGGCGCCGGGCTGCCTGGAACCGGCCGGG